TTGATTTAATTCATAGTCTGCAGCTACAGCATGTGTTAGTCCTATTCCACATCTTTAGAAAGAGACGGAGCCTTGAAACCTAACAAAGCAATATCTTAAAATTCCGAAGAAATTCTGAATTAAATAAGTGCCACATTTACTTATAATTGGTATAGGGGTTCAAAAATGTACTTAGCTTCTGGCACGTGATGCAGACAAACCGTCCAATGGTGCAACAACTGCCCGCATTTAAGAGACTGGCCCATAAGTTCAAGTAGAAGATCAAACATCTTGTTTGAGCAAAGCATATCGGTTAAAATCCAATTTAATAAATTTCGACGTGATTGAGATTCGGATGGTCGAATATTCGAGCAAATGTGCAAAGTTTCGAATCATCGACTTGCAAACACGTGACAAACAATTGATTGTCACGTAATCACGTGCGTAAATGATTCGCGCGGCAACCTGTTCGTTGTCGGGTATGTTTAGCGATAATAAGGTAATCAGGAGATGCCAGGCAGCAGACGCTGCTTGTATTTTCTGATTATCAGTGTCAGTTCGTATCCGTCCGTCCGTTCCGTTCCATCCCGTCGTGTTTCCCAGCGCCGTCGTCAAGCAGCGCGCTGTCGTCACCGCGTCGTATCGATTTTCTCTCGTTCAGTAAGCGCAGTGCGCGCAGTGCGTCGTGTGCGATCCACTTCCTGCTCAGCTCCCCCTCGTAGATTCTGAAGCCAAAATGGATGACGATGACACGATGTACGATTCAGCTGACGAGGATTTAGATGGTAAACTACTGCATCGCTTTTTTTCATTGCATTTTCACCTTATTTGAGTCAAAATGGCCTACACATATGAAATTGTTCTAATTATTCGATTACTTTGAAATTATTTGCTAAAAAGGTCTCAGTACTCAATCGACGTCGGATTTATCTGATATCATTATTGTACTCTAAAAATCTAAACAGGTAGTATGGTATATAAGAGCGGAAATTTTCTATACCAATTCTGCGTTCACACGTATGCTTTTGGAATTTTTCAGGTAGCAGATTTCTTACAAATTGTATCACCTATGATGTATGAGAAAATTCATTCGCCATACTTTAATCTTTCTGCAAAATGGTGTGAAATATATTAGTATCACTTTCATGGTACATATGTTTGTGCTAATTTTTGTGCTAGTCTTTTCTTACTTTCACTAATTATTCACAGTCAAGTTTATAGAGAAACATTCAAAGAAATCCGTCTCTGTATCTTCTTTAAGAGGGTTTATATTGCATAAGTCGTTGATAATTATGTCATTATGCTTCAGTCGATATTAAACGCTTTTAGGCAATAAAAGCAATTTGGTATTTGACTTGCCATCATTTTCCTATGACATTGAGTTCTTGCATCAAATCTATGACTGGAACATTGTTTTAAGATCTGAAATCTCTGCTAGGAAAGTTGATGTTCATCTTTCTATGATTTGCTGATTTCAAATCTGCATATAATCTTTAGGTTATTAGTTGTTATACGTTCTACGGTAGATTAGGGCTAATTTGCTTGATTTTGTAAGGTTAAATCGCTCAGCTTTTTCTTTGTTTTATTTCATTTTAAAAAGTAATCAATAGCATCGGTTTAAAATCCATTCTATTGGGTTGTTATTCTCTGATAATCATTTGCAAGAGTACGAGTAGTTTGTTGAAATATATACATATTATATATATATATATATATATATACATATATACATATATACATATATTGTACAATGAAAAAAATCATGTTGCAAGTTGTCAGTTTTACACTTTGCGCCAGTTTTGTGGCTAGAAGTGGTGGGCGTTGTGGCCTCATTGATGCCTACGTTTCATATACTGCTCCATCAGTATATTCTAAGGAAACATCAAAACTTGCGAAAAATATACTTTTACTAACTGTCCTATTGCAGACTATTATAATGACTACGATGCGGATATGAATCCTGATGATGATGATTTGAAGAAAGCTGAGACTGAAGATGCCGAATTTGAGTGCCTTAATTTTTTCCAGGTGCGTTCTTTGTCTAGAATTTTTGGAATTAAGTCAAAGCTTTTTTTTACCCTTTGAAAGATTTGGTTTAGGTTGAATGTGTACTAAACGAGAGCGTCGCCTCTTTGGCTGAGAAAGCAGCAATCTCGCCAACTTTAGCTCGTATGCTTTTACATGCCAATGAATGGGATGTAAATAAGGTGAGCCGCTCAGCTTGATTTGCAATAGGTTTTCTACTGTTTTTTTTT